AAACAGTACAACTCCGAAAGGATTAAATTTCTTTGAAAACAGCAACTATTGACTTATATTGTTATTAAAAACAAAAAATTCGAGAGAATTCAAGGTTTTTCAAGTCTCCATGATTAATGCAATCAGATGAATAGCCTATTTTTTAAAGAAAAAAAAAACCAGGAACCGACTTTCTTCAGCCAAACCCGACCTCTGTTCGCAAATGAGGCTGCTTTTCTCAACGGAGAGTTCCAGCGTGTTATTACTTTTTTTTTTTGTTCAACAGTTCCAAAAAAACGCTCGAGCCCTTCACCAATGCTGAGATCTTAGAAAAACTTGTATCATTTTATATTTAAGATATTGATTTTTGTTTAAACTGCATGTAAGAAACCGAGATGGTGGATAGAATCAGTGTTATTGATCATTTTTTTAGCTATATTCGTTATATTGAACTTACCACAAAACAAAAGAAGAGCTCCTGGTAAAGTACAATTAAGAATTGAAAGAACGAATATTTTTAAAGTAACATGTTCCGATTTAAAATATCGAAATACTGGTAAACAAAATCGATAAAATAAATAATAACCAAAGAATGCCGCTGCAACAAATTGTGCTAATTGTGATATAACATAGTTCCATCGTATTGATGATGTTCGTGGATATGAATCACGATAGATAAGTGTTGGTGCAAAAATAAAATAAATATATTTAGAAAATTCCGGACATGGTGAATGAGGATTAGAATATGTTTGTTGATCGTTTGATTTATTTTCAGTTTGATCTACAAAAAAAAACAAAAATCAAGAAAGATGTACATGAACGAAAATAATTAACCTTTTTGGGAATAAATCTGACCATAAAGTATAGCACGTGGTGCATTCTCTCGTACAAAAGCATGTGATTTCATTAAAAATCGAACCTAAAATAAAAATTTATAGTTAAAAATATTCAAAATTTTTCAATTTTTTTTAGAACTAATGAAAGAAATGAATAATTGATACAAAGAAAAATAAATAGCTAAATCTAGAATAGAATTTTTCGACGAAAAGAAACTGTGAAGAAAATTCTTACTCTTCAGTTTTCTTTCAAAAAGTTTACTTGAAAAACTATGAATATTTACACCAGTTAATGCAGCCGTGCGTGCGAATCTCTAATGTGTTATTTATTTTATAAGAATCTATAAGTTTTGAGAAAGTTATATCTGAGTTCAGGAATATTTTAGCAAAGTTTAAAATCAGATGATATAGGTAGAACTCATTTTACCAACACAGTTGTTCAAAAAAAAACACATGCTATAAAAAAGAAGCTTCTTCTCCATTGTAAACATTATTGATAATTAACAAATTTTGAAAGAAAAAATTTCAACATAATCAAATAACCCATGTTTCGAAGTACAGTGTATTTTTGACTTAATCGTCAATTAATTGTCTACTATGAAAAGTTTATAAAACGATGAATTGCTGTTGAAATGAGTTTTAACTTATCGACTATTTAATTGAAGGAGATTGATTCATGAGCAGAGATTCTTTCCAATTGTCTCTACTTTTAAGAAATAAATTTAATCTCAAATGCGAAATTTTCTTGCATGTCAACTAACGATGCACCGAACTCGAACATTCGAGTTAGGTCATTTCTAATTAGTTAAGAAAAAACAAGCAAAAGTAAATCAAAAGAAAAGATTTCAGGCTAGACAATGATAGATCTACATACAGTGAAATAAATTATCCAAAAATTGAAAATATGCAAACATCCTAAAAAAAGTCAACAATGTTTAAAAACACTAGAACTTGAACTTAACCAAAACTTGATGTGCTTCCATGATGAACTGTATGGGATAGTTATCCGAATGCGAACATTTCTTTACAAATGATAACATTCAATTATATCATGAATACAATCAGTACATTCTCAGACAATAATGTTGTATTAAAAAATAAAAATATGAAATAATACATCAGTTAAGATATGATAAAAACAAACAAGAAAGGTTCCATCAATGATTAATTGCTTTTTGAATTGAAAATACGTATTCTGTAGATCATCATTAGCTATATATAAAGACAGGCCTTAACAAGAATAGTTTATTTTAAATGTATCATAAAAAATCATTTTTTTCTGTATTATAAAACTACACCAGTCACGACTCAATAATAATTAATCAGTTAAGAGATATCTCTCGAAATTTTTTTTCTTCAGAAATATTTGCATTTTTTATCAATTATGAAAAAATTGAATAAATTCTTTTGATACATACTAAAAATTGTGGAAATCTGAACTTTCGCTAAGCAGTATGAGTTTAGGCCTGTACTCGAGTTATAGTATTTTGCTTCATACTACGAAATGGTAGTAACTAATTAGTTACGATTCTTGTAACTTAAAATTATCGTATTTCAATAGAAGTATAAAAAAAAGAAATTCATACTTGTTCTATTAGAATAATCATTCGTGTAACAATTGGATAATTCTCAGCAAGAATATAATGTACTGGAAAAAATAAAAATAATCCAATATACAGACAGTATAAAGCAAACCATATCGAATCAAATATTACTATAATAAAATAAAAATTCTTATCATAAATAAAATTAAGTTGTTTATCTTACATAGACTAGTCGTTTTTTTATTTAATGTTTCTGTTTTTTCTAATGATGATGATGATGAGACAATTGGAATAAACGAAAGACGTTTATATGCCCAAAAATGAAAACAACAATAAAGAATAATAGTAGTTGATACAAATAAACAAAGCCAAAGACGTAAACATGCTGATAAATTTGAAAAATTCCAAAGAATTACATCAAATCGAAAATCAATTCTAGAACAAAAACAATAATCTACACTTATAAAAAAAAATGATTTACTTACGTTCCAAGTTCAAATAAATCAGTTATAGCAACTTGTAAAAATACAATAACAAGAACTGATATAAAGATTTGTCTAATAGATCGAAAATGTGATACTTCAAGTAATTCTGTAAGTATTGATGAACGCATTCGAAAATTTTTTGTTGGAAATGCAATTGATGCTTTTTTATTATCACCATTCTGTACATTTGTTGATGATGGATCATTTTCAATTTTATTAATTGCTGCTGAATCCATTGCAGACATAACAGGTTCTTTAATAATACCATCCATTGATGATGTATCAGTTTTTTGTTTCATTTCTGATGAAAATTCTTCAAGACGATTACTTATATAATTAAGCATTTCAGAACGAAAACGCTATTCAATTGAAAACACAAAAAAAAACCAATAATGAATTATTATTTGAACAAAAAAAAAAAAAAAACAATTACTTCAGTTGCATTATGAATTGATACTGTTCGATCTAGGTAACGAAATTCTGCACCGGCTGATCTTTCTATATTATTTAAATATTGATTTTAAGAAAAAGAAGAATGAAAATAAATAATAAATTCAACTAACCATGACTATATTTTTCTGATGATGCCATTGTTGAATTAATTGATGCACCAAATAAAAATGTTGATTCACAATCTAAAGTAAATTAAGTTTTATTTGATATGTTTTTAATAATAATACAAATGAAAGTATGAATTTCATACTTTTTATATTATCTATTTATAAAATAAAACACTAAAACACTCACTAGAACAGCAGATTGAACACATATTATTCTTATTAGCAAATATGTATTATAAATTGATAAATCTGTGATAACAAATATTTCGCAAAACAAAAAAATCGATTCGTTGATTTGTTCTATTTCTTTCAGTTAGATAATTAACGTGATAGACAAGTACACACACAAAAAAAAGAATAAAACAAATTTAGATTATTGATCGTTAAGTAAAAAATATAACTATTGATTTGATTGATTTTGCATACTTCTTAAAAATATATGATTTAACTGTTAGTATTCAAATAAAATTTGTATATATATATTTTTTCTTTTTTGTCAAATAAAAAATGTCAATTTTCTTCTTTTCTTTGTGTTGTCTCTTTATTCTATTCAATCAAATATTGCCTAAATCAATGTCATACTATTTTCGTATTCTTAGAACTTTTAGACATTGTAATCAATTAGTTGACATCAGAAAATATATCATGCGATTGTTGTTCTATGATTCATTCTAAAATTCAATTGAAAAAATAAATTTTAGTCAATTAAAATTCATTTAACATCCCTAAAATAATATTTGAAAAATTGTTTTTCTTGGGTATACTAATTATTTTATTTCTCTACAAATAATAATTACTAATGATGACTACAAATTTCGTAACAATTTTTTAATTCCAAATCGACATACAAGTAAATTTGTAATAGAAAATTTTCTCAATCTAATCGAAAATGTATTAACAGATCACGTTTAAGATTCCATCGAAGGCGCCATCTTCACCACAACAATGGTAGAATATGCAATGAAAACAGTGTCCTCTATCAAGATCATAACGGTACGAAATAGATCTTGTATATTATATATTGAATCATAGATAACAGAAGTCTTTCTCTACAAATCATCTACATATATCCTGTTCTAGAATTAATATACGTATTGTTATCTTTATATGAATTTTTAAATTGTATTTGAGTGACCTCTAGATAGAAAATTATATATATTTTGAATTGAAATCTTTCTTTAGAAACAAATAAGAAAAATTTTTGTTTTTATTATTCTTGCAATTTAGAATAATATATTAAGATTTATTTTGAAAATTGATCCTCCTCTTTGGCGCTTTACCGATCATTTTAAATTCGATCTATCGATACCCTGGAATAAACTAAACACGTCCATATAAATTTTTCTCTTCTAGAAACATCTCTCTTTTCTATCTAAGATAGTAAATATATATATATCCTATAATAACCCTAGATAGATGTGATTTAAAATAAATGTAATTGTTTTCGTCCAATACAATATCATTATTCTAACTATAGTCCAAAATTTATGTACGTGAACAAAAGAGAAAAGAAAATAGTAGTAAACTTTTGATTTTATCATCTTCATTTTTCATCTTTCTCCATCTATACATCGATAGCCAGAATAAAATAACAAAATGACCTTAGCTAATAATACATCATTGAAAAAAACTTCATCATCAGGTACAACTGATTCACCATATCTTGGTTCAAAAATTAGTCTTGTATCAAAAGCTAAAATTCGTTATGAAGGTATTCTATATACAATCGATGCTAATGAATCAACTGTAGCACTTTCGAAAGGTAAGAATTCAAAGAAAAACAAACACTTTAAAATTAAAATATCTTTATTTTTAGTACGTTCATTTGGTACTGAAGATCGTCCAACTGATCGACCTGTACCTGCTCGAGATGAAATTTTCGAGTATATTATCTTTCGTGGTGCTGATATTGAAGATCTTCAAGTACGCGAACCTCCACAAAGTTCATTAACACAAGATCCAGCCATTGTTGAGGTACATATGATCTCTTATAAAAAAAAAGAAAGCATCGGACTATAATGGTAACGAAATCTATCAGTAACCGATAGACTAGTTAATTATGTCTCAATTAATATTCGTTATTCAATATTATGCTTCCTTGTTTTTTTTAGTCGTCGGCATATCCGGATAATGCTCGTTCGAATTCAATTGGAACTAATACTAATCTTGGAGGTATTTCAAAAAAACATCAAACTTATTTATTTAAAATAAAATTATAATTTTAGGAATATCACAAAATGGTCAAACACGTTCATTATCAAATCGAGGTACAATGCCATCACCACCTACACGTCAAATTAGTGGCAAAGGTTTAAAATCATCTGAATCCTTACGTCCATATAATTTAAATCAAAAACATTCATCAAGACATTTTAATCAACAATCACCATCACGTCAATATGATGTACAAAATTATTCTTATGGTAATCAACGACGTACTACTCGTCAACAAGATTATTATAATGATTATATTCCATATCGTCGAAATAATGGTTGGTTACGTCAATCACAACAATTTTCAAGACCATTACAAAATTATAATGATAATCGATTTTATTCATCGAGACGTAAGTTTTATTTATTTATTTACTAGCAAGAATCTGTGCATATTGCACGACTGTTTGTTTTTCCTCTAACGTATGACGACGGACGCTTAACTTTTCATCCGGTAACGGACATACAGACACTCGATATTATGTATACGGATAGATAGCCCTACGGTCTCATACTCTTGTATCGCACATATTTTTATAGTCCATTAGCCTTCGGTCTTATAGCCTTATATCCCTGGTAGATCTTGTAGCATTGCCCCATTATTGCCATACTCCCTTCATTATCTATGGGTACCCCCATATAATAGCTCTTGGGGATCTGGGGATACCTCCATAGGATAGCCCTTGGGCCTTCTCCTTATAGCCTTATTTGACCTTTTATCCGACACACACACTGAACATTATATATATAGATTTATAATTTAATTTTGATCATTGATTGTTTTTAAAGGTCAACAACAACAACCATCAACAGGAAGATATAATTATCGTCAACGACGTAATTCAACTGGTGATATATCTAATAATCAACAACAAATACGAACAATTAATAATCGTCAACAACGTGAACGTAATAATGTTAATAATCGTTTATCATTAAAATTTATTGGTGATTTTGATTTTGAAAAATCTAATGCTGAATTTGATAAAAATGCAATTGAAGATGAAATAAAAAAAAGTTTATCAATTAAAATAAATAAAAATGATTCACCAAAAATTGAACAAGAAAATGATAAAGAAAATCAATCAACAATACAATTAGAACAACAAGAAACTAATTGTGATGATTATTATGATAAACAAAAAAGTTTTTTTGATCGTATTTCATGTGAAGCTACAGAAAAAGAAAAAACGTAAATTTAATCAAAAAAAAAATAACATTTTGTTTTTGAAATGTAATATTGTTTTTTTTTTTAGAAATGCTCGTCGTAATCGAAATGAAGAACGTCGTGTTAATGCTGAAACATTTGGTTTACAATATCGTTCAATACAACAAGGTGGAAATCAACGTTTTGGTTATCGACGAAATAATAATAATAATAGTCGTTATCAACGTACAACAAACGGAAATTATGCTACTCGTAATGCTATGTACTATGGAAATGTAAACAATCGAGTACGAGCCTATTAAAATATCAAAAAGGACATAGATATATATATATCTGTGTACGTTTATAGTCATTTGGTTAAAAATTATATTTATCTTTCGTTTAAGCTGTGACTTTTTTTTTCTTATTATTATTTTCTTTTCTTTTTTTTTGATTGTTATTCTCATGCTAGATTTTTTTTTTATAAAAACGACGAATTATATGATTTATGATGAGGAAGAAGAACAAGAGAGAATATAAAGGCATGTTTTTATTTTATTTGTATCACGAAAAAAAAAAATGTTTCTTTTCTTTAAAACTAATAAAAGTTTATGAGAAAAGATCTTATTAAATAATTATTTATATTTCAATGATCGACATTTTGAAAGGATATAAAGCAAGGATAAAAAAAGTCTGTAGAATATGATTCGGATTCATATATCATTTAGAATATGGTCATTCATTTAATTCTTTATTTTACTAGATTTAATAAATAAAAAATATATAGTTAACAAATAAAATAAACTCTCGTCTCTATCTATTCTTTTGCAAAGATAAATTCAACTTGGTTGAAGATTAATGAATGAGATAAAAAAAAAACAAGACTGATAGTTGTACCGTTATTGTCATATATGCTGAATTTATAACTATGTTCAGTAAAAAAAATAGCAAGTGTTCTATTAACAGATGAATTATTTCGTTGACTATCAACTTAGTCTGTAATTCTTTCTAGGCAAACAATTGTGGAATACAAAAAGTAAAAATGACTTTACAATATCTAATAAAATTCTAATGCAATGCGTAGAAAATATTTTCAAATGCCTATTCATTCGTTCGTCATGGCATGAAACATACATCAAACAATGCAGAATTTCTCAAACTCTTCATTGGATCAGACATTTCTTCTCATTAAATGACTTGATCAAGAACAATGTAAAAGGTTTTCAAGCTTAATTGGAGATTGTTGAGTTGATGTATGATAGTTTCTTGAGTACATGATTGGAGACGTGAGCATGATATTGAAAAAAGTGTTGTCATAGCATCGATAAGATTATGTATATTTTCTGTCTTAGTAGTATTTGTCCAGGGATGAGTCTTTATAGGGATATCAGTGTTATTATCTCTGTTTATATATACTCTGTATAGTACCTTTTCATTTGTCCATCAAGGCTACTAATAAAATCTCTATCAGGATCACGGTGACCGATTGTGTTTTGGTATCTGATGTTTTATTTTCTGTTTATAGCAGCAAACTTTATTTCTTAAAAACAACTTTCTTTTAGAAGTTTTTGAATTATTACAGAAAAATTAATTATATCAATCAGATTAAAATTAACTTTATGATGTCTTCATTTGTTTACATAGTTTTTAAAGTGAGTTTTTCTTTTTATTAACATTACAATTATATTGATGTATATCACTTCAATTTAACACTCATCTGTTTTGGACGAAATGCTGTTTTTCAGATACTCATCACTGAGAATGTTGTTCTCCGAGTAACGAAACCAAGTAAAATGGAATCATGAGTAAAGACAGAGCGTGTCCCAATAGGTAGCAGGTAGTTTTTAACATGCTCTCCTTGAAAAGAATGATTATATTGTGCTCAAATTGCTCGCATATCATCAAATCTTTGATTCTTGTTTCCATTCACTTACGTACTGAGAAACGAAGCTTTCTTTAATTTTTAACTGTAAAAGTGTAAAAATAAATTTCATAGTTGCTATGTAGTTCGATGCTTTCTTTCAAAATGTACCTCACTAAAACAAATATTTAGATTAATATTCAGGCTTGCTCCCATTACACAATATTAACTTATTTCAAGAAATTTTCTTGAAAATAATTTTGAATGATTCTTGATTAAAAAGGTTTTCAATTTGATTATCGATGACTTAAAGAAACATCATAGGAAAACATCGTTTCTTCATTAGTATAGACGACTACTGTGCAAAATTTTTCTTGATCTTAAGACCGAAATAGTTTATTCTATGAATGTTTTACTGATAAATCTTTTTACATTTGATATAATTCAAGCGCAAAAAGAATTCAATCTCAATATCTTAGCCCAAGATGTTCTCGTTGAAAGATTATTCTGCCTTAGAACAGCTTCAAATGACAAAATATTTCATGATAACTAATAATATCAGTCATCGAAATAAAAAAAATATATCTAAATTAATATCAGTCTAAGTATTGAAGTGGCAAAATACGCAGACAAGTCAAATAATCAAGAGCAAGTTTCTGTTGAAAAAAAACATTATTTGCTTGTTAAAACAATGAAACAAAAAGAAATATGGTAGTCAATACTATCGACAAGTAATTTATTTTAAATAGGTCTCTGAAAAATTTACCCCAAATCATAGATAGAATGTACGAATCAGAATAAAATTCCAAATTGTTTAATGTATGTCATCCCAAAAAAATGAATTGCTCGAAATTTCGATCAAACTGCATCAGTCGCTTTCAATTCTGCTATAGGAAGCATGAAAAAAAAACACAAGAACAAAATGTAATCTAGAACTGTTAAAGAAGTTTGATCTAATAGATCAATACTGAATCTTAATCTTTATTTTTGAAACAACAACGACATACAGATGAACGGAACTAGGAGAAAAACCTAGAAACACTTGTAAGAAGATATGCTGAAATGAAAAATTCCTATACTCTATCGATAGAAGAAAAGAAAAGAGATGTATTTATTGTTTGTGTCATATATCTATCTATGATGATAGAGCAGAAGAAAGAAAAGGAAAATATCATATATAAATGATTCATATGATAAAAAGAGCATTGACTTGTTGGAATGGCAAGCAATACACACTTGGATTTTACCAAAACGAATAAGAATCAATAAAAAAAAAATACAGAGAAATATCGTAAAAATAGAAATTCCTACGGCATATAAGGCTTGAAAAAACATACAGTTTCAAAGACAAAAAAAAAATTTTCAACGAAAATAATTCATTTGTTCTTATTCTATTTCAATTCACATCAAATCCAAGTAATGTCAATGAGATATTTATTTGAAAACTTAATATTTATCTTATTGATTGTTTGCTTATTACAAACAAGTACAACAACAGCAGGACCACTCGCTTATGCTACATGTCTGGGAAAATGCATGGGATGGACGCTTCCTGGTGTAGCCGCCGCTGGTCCTGCTGGACCACCCGCTGCCGTTGGTGCCTCTACGGTGTGTGCTTTTATTTGTTTACCAGTACTCTTTGCTCCAACGCTGTAATATAAACATTTATATTTGCTTTTATGTATAAAATAAATAAATAAATAGATGAAAAAAAAATTACTTTCTTTTCATTCTTAAACTAAGATTCACTCCATGTTTCGCCTAACAGTAAAAGTGAGCTTTATAAATGCATAGCCATGAAACATGAGAAAAATTTGTCGATGTCAATCTATTGAATGGTACAATGCGTGTAGGCTTTAGTTTTATCCAAAAAATATGATTATAGGAAACTAGACAATGAGTCTCTGTCTCCAAACTTGTTTGAGCTACATTTGTCAGTTCTATCATCTTTTAGAGCTCATTACCGAACAACTTTAGGAGTCACTGTAAATAGCCTTTTGGTTGTCTGCTTTCTTCGTCACTTGTTCTATTTCGAAGTTGTTATTATCAGGTTCAAAAGAAAAGGATTAACAACAAGCAACAACAAACGAAACACTATGAGTGATGCTATTCAAAATCGATGATTCATTGATTTCTCTCGTTAGTAGTCCTTGAATCAAATCCTCATGAATTCTCCTTGTTTTCGCATTTAATCTCATAGTAGAGTTGGAATATATGAGGTGTTAATGTTTTGAGGAAACAATAAATTTCCTAATTGATCGTTTAGTTGAAAAAAACCAAAAGTCAAGCCATCAATATATCAGAAGACTCCCGTGAATAAATCAAGCAAAAAACATAGTAGAAGACCACTTCGTGTCTGATCTTTAGAAAATCTGTTTTTGAAATTAATTTCTGATTTTTATTGACTTTCTTTACTATTCAAGTTCATCATGATACATAAGCTCAGTATAGACAATATCATGTTGATCTTAAGAGCAGAATGTTAGTTAAGATTTTGAGACACAGCTAATAGAAAAAAAAATTAAACAATTCTTAAGCTTCTTCATTTGAAAAGTGTTTTTATATTCATCAGATCTAATAGATGCAATCCAGACTCGATTATGTAAAAAGATGAAGAAACCTTTTCTTGAAATAATAAAATGTTACTTGCAAAAGAAAACACAAAATATTTGTTCATTTATTGATTCTGTATAAACTACTGCTTTGCTAATAAAACAGCATTCACACAACTTAGCTTATGACAAGCAACCGAGCTAGTAATTGGTATTGTAAACGAATAGTTATCTATACTAATTAAGCCTCAATATGAGTAACTACCATACATAAGTTCGATAACAAAAAAAAAATTCATTGTTTTTTTTTCAATTATTGAGTCGCTGAGATGTGTTGCAGAGACTGTTAAAAAAATGACTTTTTTTTATGGACATATTACAATAGCTGAAGCCTTCTAATTTGTTGATGGCTTTACTGTGAACAAAACGTCATTATATTACGGTTGGACAAGCAGATATAGCTTGTCAAAGCTATTAGTTTATCACAGTAGTTTTTTTTTCAAAATATTTACGGATTATATAAAATTTTAGTTTCTCTAGAAACTATTGCAAAAAAAATAATAATCTTCCGATGATAGGTCATTTTCTTACTTGAAGAGAGCAGCATATTACTCAAAGACGTTTCATTGAAAATATCTGTAAACAGATGATGAAATATTTTCATCAAAACAGTATTTTATTCGATTTTTATTTATTTGAAATAAAATGTATAAATGAAAAACAAAGTAGTATCTAGTTTAGCAATAAATTAATATGTTCGTCGGACTACAATTGAGGTGTTTTGAAAAAGCTTTGCCATGTTAATTGAGTTTGCCCTTGAATTTGTTGGATTGCAGTTGAAACATCATTTGTAGCAACCAATTGATTGAATTGATTTAGTTTATCTGAATCTTGTGATATTCCATTCAAT